TGGGCATTCAACTTGCCATACAATTAAATGACTTCTTTCTCCTTTTGACAATTTGTTATGAATATTTTTTTCAGTTTCTAGATCATTTGAAATCATACCTTCAATGTCTTCATCATTATTACCATCACCTATTAAAAAAAATTATTTTAAATAAAACACAATAAGAAGAGATTGAAAATTACTAATATAAATATTTAATCCATCTTTTTTATTATCATTAGGCTAATCAGAAAATGACAAATTCTGATAGTATCGCTATTCTAAATATAAAAATGAATCTGCTCAAAATTATTAATGTAATATATGAATCAAATTTAATTTGTTTAAGACTTAGTTAAATTTTGTTAGACTTTTCCTAATGTTTTATGATATGTCTAAATTTTAAAAGTGATTTTTTCAGTTAAAAGAAACAGAGATTGATATAAATTTGTTAATAAGATATTAAATACTAAGTCAGGAATCACTGTGTGATAAAACTAATGGGAAAATACCTTTTAAGCAATGGAAAATTCTTTAATACGATAATTAGCAACCATAGTGGTTTCTGGGTCTATCCATAAGACGCAGTGGTGTTCAAAAATTATAATTATATTATAGATAGATAGAAACATGGAATATGAATTCACTAATCAAATTATTTTAATTCAATTTCAATTACAATCAAAGTTTATTATAAAAATTTATAAATATAGAAATTCCTGAAATAAAAATAAGTAATGAGTTGCTTAACTTTTCCAGCAACATTTAAAACTGTATGTGGAGCCATCTGTTAAGATATTTTTATTAAAACTTTTTATATTTTTAATTATTATAAAATAGCAAAAACCTTAATTTTCAGGGTAAAGTTTTATAAAAAATTGTAAATGCTAATGAGTAAAATTTCATTAAGTCTGACAATACTCGAGATATGACACACAACAGCACCTTCATCTCCCCAACCCCCTTGACCTTTAGCCATCAAAATTTAAGAGCATCAATTTCCCTAATACACAAACCTCCCTGAAAAACTTCAGAAATTTTTGACAAAAAGCACAAGAGTTATTAAGCATAAAACAGGATGAACAACATTGTGCTCCCCCACACAAACATCCACACATACAAAAAAAAACCCTGAATTTTTTTTGCATTTCTCAACGTTTTAAGATCTAGAGTCCAAAAATGTAAAAATTTTTTGACCAATCTCCATACTTTACCTCTGTTATATATAATAGAGCTGGGAAAGTAAAAATCTATTAATTAAATAAAAATTTATTCCAAAAATCTAAATCTTTTATTATATCTTAAAAAATATGTCAATAGTAATTACTAAACTGTTTTGTTTATTCATATCTTAAATAAAAGTAAAATATATATATATATACCTATTCGAAAATCTATATATCCTTCTCCACCAGATATAACTAATGTATGTGCAACTTTTCTTATTTCTTCTTCATAGTCATTATTATGCTTAATACTATCAGAGTTATTTCCTGAAATTTCAATGTAAAATACTATAACAACTTAATAAGGAAAAAACTTAGTTTGAAAAATTTAAATAATTATAAACTGTGTATAGGATATTTCTACAGATTGACTTATTTTACTAAAATGCCTAATTAAGAGAAGAAAATTTATAATAAAAAATACAATACACATTAAAGTGTTATATATATTTTATAAAATTAAATTCGAGCAAAGTTTTCATAGTTAACAAAATATAATTCTAAAATGGAATAATTTATTTTATTAAATATTTAATTGAAATAACAATTTTAATGTCATTTCCATTAAATATGCAATAAAGCAACTATAGTAAAATACTGTATTTAATAAAGATAAATATCGTAATTAATTACAGAATACACTTTAAAACATAGTTAAAAGATATTAAAATTGAGAAAATTCTTGATGGAACCTTATAAAGTTTATACATACATTTACAAAAATTTCATATCATTTTAAGAAAAATTTTAGAAAATAACTTATAAAAAGTTAAATGAAAATACAAACCTGGAACTGATACAAAAAATTTTACAGAATCTCTATGACCATGGAAAGATAGCTGAGCTTGAGCCATTGAACAATATGGAATATAACTATTTGTAGTAACATCTTCTTTCTTATCAGAATAAACTCTTACAACACCACCTGGAGTTTTATTTTTATTAGGTGTTAAAGTTGGTTTATTTCCTAAATTCAATAACACATTCATTCATTAATATTTCATATTATTAATGTAAAATACAATTACATTAATTTTAATATTTATTATATTATTCACATTGAACAGTAAAGACTCAGTGATCATTTAATTATTTTATGAGAACATTTTTTATTTAAATTTTCTTTCTGAATTAAATGGTTCGATGTGTAAAGATTATATTTTTGTAAGTTTCAAAAATAAAAATATTTATTTATAAAAATGTGTAAGTTAACATGTTTCTTACAAACTTCAATTGTTATTTAATACAAATATATTTATTAAGTTAATTTTGAATTTAAATTTCATAGAAAAGAATATCTGTAAAACCTGAAAATATAAATATATGTTTAGCAAGATAAAGTAGAAAGATAAAAATTTTCAGGATTGAACAGTTAAAACAATAAAACAGGTTGAATTAATGATTTTTGTTATTTTGAAACTTTCTTCAAAACTATTTTTAAATAATATCTTTTTCCTTTAAAATGCTAGTTATTACATTTTCAATAATTATAACATTTTTCTAAGAATGTTTCTAGAATAGACATAAAATTCAAAGAATGTTTAAGAATGAAAATTTCAAAAATTCATTCATATAAATCAAGGAAATAAGACATGCCAAGCCTTGTTAGTAATTGCATCAACTGGTAGTGAATGTTTACAATGATATAAAATCTAAGAAAACAATCAAAATTGTAAAGTTGAAAAAATGTTTAAAGACTGCTAAAATCACTAGAATTTGAATATTTAAAAATATTAATAAATGCCTGCTGAAGTAATTTTCTTATAAATCATAAATAAAAAAGTAAAAAAAGGTGATAAATGTAGAAAAAACACTCATTACCATCATATACTGTATATATTCACATCATCATCATCATCATCTCAATGTTTGTCATTTTTGTTTTTCTGTTGCATTATCTAAGAACTAGAGGAAAATTTGCCATTATTAACATCTAATAAAATTTTTTTAACAAACTGAAAGAAATGAATTTGAAGTTCTTACATAGCACGAAGAAATCTTTGCTAATAGCAGAGTAATAAAAATAATGATACTTGGAATTAAAAAATTTTAATAAAGGATTTAATTAATTCTAATTTCAGAAAAAAAACAAAGAGAAAATCATTTGCAGTAAGTTAAAGATCACAATAATTTTTCTTGGACCAAAATATTTCATTAAACAAAATATAACTTTCTCAAACTACTTTTGAATATAAACTACAAACAGTCATATTAAAATTCACAAGTATCTTCTGCTATATTTAGATTTGTTTTCTGTCTGTTGAGAAAGTAAGATAAGACAAAATAAACAGTTCAATATGCATAATACTCTTTAAAAAAATATATTACTTTCAGCAAAAAATTTAGTTGCAGGCACATGAATCTCTTGCTGCTTTTATAACGATCAAGCCATCATATCAATATATTGGTTAAAAATTAAATCAACTAAAAAAGAAAAAAAAAGACAATTTACTTGGCCTAACAATATAAACAAAACTAAGTCTAAAAATTTTTTGGAGGTTTTACAATCATACCTATTTATTGTTCCATTCTGTAGAAACAACGATAAAATCACATTTATTTTAATATGCATTCTGACATCATTTTACATTTGTGATTTATCATCTGGAAAGGGAGGCAGAAAGAACAAACTGTCCGAGGCCTAAAGATTTAGGGGAACCTATATCAAATGTTTTTTGTTTATTTCCTTTAATATAATCATTTAATTTGCTGTAGGGCCTCAATATATATTTTGCCCCAGACACCATTATCTCTGGGTGATCCTGTTTATCATTAGTGGAGAGAGAAGAGAATCAGTCTAATTGAAATCAAATATCAAATACTAACTTTAATGACTATTAGCTGAAATGTTATGAGGTAATATGAGAACAAATAAAGTAATTGTTAATATTTTATAATTGGTATAATTAAAAAATATTTAATAATACTGATCAAATAAAGTTTTACTTTATTTTTTAATAACAGAAAAATGTAAGCAATCTAAATGTGTCCATGTCTAAAAAAGTGTAATGCACTAATTTATCTAATATCATGATGGATCCTGAGATTCAGATAATCAAGATTTTCTGTTATATTTTAATGATTAAATAAGAATAACTTATATCTTTTCTCTTTTAAAGCAAATATCTTACACTGACAAAATATAACAAAATAAAAATAATGCTAAAGGTAAATGGTAAATTAATAAACATTAGATATGCAAATGACGCAGTGGTTATAGCAAGTAGTCCCAAAGAATTACAACTGATGGATCATATTGTCGAGTACAGTGAACTGCATGGTCTGTCTCTCTATGAATTTTACCAAAACCAAACTTCTTGTGTTCTCAAAAACAAGAAAAAGTGCAAATCTTGTCATTCACAGGAACACTATTGAGCAAGTATCATCTCTCAAATACCTCAGCACAATAATAAACGAACAATGTGATCAGTGTACAGAAATAAGAGCAAGGATCAAACAAGCCAGAACATCGTTTATGAATATGAAAAAGTTTTTGTTAGATCCGAATTGAGTTTATGTCTGAGGATTCGAATGTTAAGGTGCTACATCTTCTCCGTCCTGCTATATGGATGCAAAAGTTGGACTCTGGACCCCAAACTGAAAAAAGAATTGAAGCTTTTGAAATGTATTCGTACAGACAAACACTTTGAATATCATAGGTGCAAAAGATTACTAATGTTGAAGTCCTGAACTGCATGAACAAGCAAAAAGAACTCCTGCTGACCATCAAAATCAGGAAAACACAGTACATAGGTCATATAATGAGAAGAGAGAAATATCAAATACTTAGACTAATATTAGAGGGCAAAATACAAGGAAAAAGGTCTGCTGGGAGACCAAAGAATCAATGGTTAAAAGACATCACAAGGTGGTTTGGGCGTACATCTATGGAGATATTCCGAGCTGATATATCGAGGACAATGTTAGCTATATGGATCGCCAACCTTGGACAGGAGATGGCGCATTAAGAAGAAGAAAGTAGAAAGTAGTGAAAGTGATAACTCATTATAAATTCTGTAAAATAATAATATTCTAAGTCTATGGAAATAATCTCTTACAGATATATACTAAAGGTTAAAAATATACTTACTTTCTGCAAGAGGAACTGATATAACAACACCATTTCCTGTTCCCATCCATAATCGATTACATGATATAAGTAATGCTGTAATTCTAACAAAAGAAAACCCCAATTTTCCTGTACCTGTAAGAATGGAAAGTTTTCCTTTTAAAATGTATTTTATTATGCAGTATAAATTATTCTTTTGGAACATTTTAAGCTAATTGAAATACATACAAGATCTGATCAAAAAGTATCCAACCTTATTTTTTTTCATTGCAAGTATTTGCAAGCTGGAAGGAGACTATGTTGTCATGTCACTTTGGATCCTAATGCATGTATGTGAATTTTGGTAAGCCATCCTATTGTGCAGTTGCTGTCACGCAGCTGTGATAGTTGCATATATATGCTGTTATCACTGCATCAGTGATTTGGTAAAACATGCTGAATCCTGAGATTCAAGGAAAATTATAACCAGTGAGGAGACCTAAGTCTACAGTTATGACTTTGAGACAAAGGCACAATCATTCCAGTGGAAAATGCCATGATTTCCACAACAAAAGAAAGTAGGGCATTCACACAGCAATGTTAAGGTCCTGTTGACATGACCTTGTATGTTACTGTTTCTTTTGACTTCTAGGGTGCAGTTTATCGTGAATATGCCCATCTTGGAAAAACTGATAAAGGAGTACTACCTGCTAGGTGCAATAGACCACAGCTCTGGCAGTCTGGCAATTGGTGACAATCATGACAATGTTTTGTCCCATGGATTGTATCTCTTCAGACATTCCTTGTAAAACAGAGTATTGCACAAGTTCAGTAGTTTTCTTACTCCCTAGACGTAGCTCCTTCCCAAACTCAAGATGCCACTCTAAAGAAAGACATTTCAGGATGCAGAGGTGATCAAAACTAACACAAAAACAAGTATGATAGAGATCATGATAAATGAATTTGAAAAATGCTTCCAACAGTAGAAGCATTGCTGGGAGAAGTGTGTGAACTCAGAATGGGACTATTTTGAAGGGGACTAGTGTTTGAACCAAATAAATATGCAGGCATTTTTTCTGACCTCAGGTCAGATACTTTTTGATCAGAACATTTTAATTATGAACATGAAGCATTTTAATAAAAATTATCATTCATCATAAATTGAAATTACTAAATATACGACATTATAAAATATAGATTAAATAAATATATACTAAATTATATATTTTAAAATAAAATATCANTAATTTTATAAGCCGCGATTATTTACGCGAGCTTTAACATTACCCTGCAAATAATTGTAAAATATATAACAAAAATAACTGTTATTGTTAAAAAATATAAAATGCAGAAAAAAATATAGTAGTTAGAAAGATTATTTGTATGAAAACGGGACACCTACTTTTAAACAATAGAATATAAGTCCGTCGACCATCTCCGGTTGGAGATCGAATTAAACTTCGATTTTGACCTCTCCCGCGCCCCCGAAAGGTTTCGAATTGTCATCAGGTGACAAGGAGAGACCAATCGGTAAGAGGAATCTGAGGAAAACGGATAAAACCCCGGACATTCAAGGACGCAACGGCTTCTCCCGAAAGTTCCAAGTGACGGATCTATTGTTGTGTGTGTCTCGTGTCCATCTTCGTCTCCATCTCCCGACCTCGGATCGACATCTTTACATCAACGGAAATCGACCGCATCGTCCCGGAATCGTCGAGACATCGATGGAATTGTTCATTCGCGAACAAGGGACACTCCTTCAAAATGGGACTATATTGGAAAGGAGAGGAAGACCCAGAGGTCGCAACCGACGTAGAACTTCCAAGATCGCGGAAATCTTGTAAGCTTCTTTCGTGTTTAATAAACGGGTTGTGTTGTTTGTAAACGAGGCATCTATCTCTGACTCAACTGCTTCCACATGTTGATTATTACCGCTCGGCAGTCCAGATGGCAAGGGAGACGATGACGATATATATCGCATAATATCGTTAATTACGTTTTTTTAAATTTCTCCCCCCTCGGCCCCACAATATCAATGGAAAAAAAGTGTTGCCAAGTTTTCTGTAGAAAGGGGTTTTCTTCTTCACGTCATTTTTTAAGTTGGTATTTTTTTCCATAAAGTATTCAGAATGCTAACCTGATGGCTGAAGTGGTTAGTGCATCAGCCTATTGCTTTGGGGAACCAGAGATCAAATCTATGCAGGCATTTTTCAGAGGTGGTCTGACATGGATATGTTGGGCCTCGTCCCTCATCACTTGGTTGCCACACTGTGATTTGGCTGAATCCACAATGAGCCTGAAAAAAGACCCTCTTAATGCTCATTGGATGAGATTAATTAAGAGGAAAAAAAACTTTGCCAATTTTCAAAGACAAATTTTTATGAAAATTGTCAATCTTGTATATTGCTATTTGTCAGTGTATTTACAGTGCAGTTTGTATATTAATTAGAAGCAAATGTTCTTGGAGTGCAAGTTAGAATGAATGAAACTTATCACATGATCAATATTGTGTGGTCACAATGTTCACAATGTTTCCAACTCTGAAACTGTGATGCAGCAATCTGTATGCAGTGAGATCTTGGTTGCCTTTTGTGAAGAATGACAAAATATAAGTGAAAAGCTTGGTATTTAGTTCTATTAGGTGTTTTATCAATTCTGTTCATCTAATTAATTGTGCAGACAATCTGATCTTTGCTATACATAAGCTTATTAGCTTAACTGTCTTTAAATATCTTGTCATTCTGTGTAAATTTTTAACTGGCTTAAAAATAAAATATATTCATTTCTTTTAAAAATCAGAGGTTATTGCTTCCAAAATTAAAGATAATTCACTGCACTTAAAAAAAAATCTAAAACTTTTTAAAACAATTATTTTATTTCTTTATATATATATATATATATTTATGTATAATCTCTTTTTTAAGTATCACACATACATTATCTTTTTAATTCTTCTAGTAATTTAAGTAGTGATGTAAGCAATGAAATTTGAAGCACTTTTTTCTTTTCCAAGTTTTTCTATTATTAAAGTAACTGAAATTATAATAGATTAGAAAACTGATTATTTCAAATTTATCTGTCTTATACAATGCAATGAAGAATAAAAATTTCAAATTTGTTCTTACAAACTGGTCAAAATTTTCACATAATTTTGTATTCACCATAAAAGAATATACAGGAATGTAAAACACAAAAATAAACTATAATCATATCTTACATTTATATGCTATGTAAAATCACATAATTTAATTACAACACTATTTTAAATATATACTAAATATAAATAAAATTACATTTGATTTCAATTTATACAAGCTGCTTGAATATTTACAAATTCAATTTAAAAATTTAAAAATTTTTGTTTCCATTTATAATAAAAAATATTAAATGGAAATTTAAAGATTCAATATATAAAATCAAATTAGATATTCTGACTTAATGGCCACATTAAATTTTACATATATTCAGTTCACATAATAATCCCATTTGCAGTACGTACATCTTGAAGTACTTAACAAAGTTCAGTATTACAGTACTTAAAATTCAGAATGTTTTAATATATATATTTATATATATTATCAACCCCTATCTTATTTCCACGATATTTTTAGAAAAATAATATCCAAGTAATTTTCGCAGGCAAAATATTCAAAAAACAATAAACGCATTAATGCAAAAATCAGTTTTACTTCCTTTTTTCGATTCCGCGATTGTAATGAAATCGTACAACGAGAAAAAATAATAAAATCATTTTATTATTAATTAATAATTTTTTTTATTGTACTTAATTAATTAAGAAAATATTAAATATTTAAAAAATACAGTATTTTTAAAGTTAAAATAAGATTAAACTAACGAAAACCAAAAGCAAAGGAATGGAGAGATAGGACGCTATATAAGAAATACC